GTCACACTTCTTCCACATCTTATCCTAAGGTTATTTATGTTCTTTGTATTAAATTATAAGTCCATTTTTTAAGGTTCCAGTGAAGAATCAAGCTATTTAACCTAATATTTTTATATAAAGCCCCTAAACTTAGTTTTTAAGTAAACTGAACACCCACTTTATAGAAAAATATGCATGTTTCCATTGACAGATTACAGGGGAATCTATTTCCTCACCTGAGGGCTGGAGAGGGTTTGTTATTTAAGCAGTGCAACATAACAAATTTCCTCTCCTGTAAATATATGTAGTCTTCACCTTAGTTGCTCTTTTAAAAACACACTGAGAATCTTGTTGCTTCCTGCCAGTCACTGTTCTGCTATACCAGAGAGCCACTGATGTAGAATTTCTTGTGGGCATTCTGCAGGAGCATCTGAGGATGGGATACCAGTACTGAATTTCTTGCAGTGTAACAACTTTAGCTCTTATGTTTGCACAGGGACAGACTTTTTAAGAGTTATAGAAAGATAGGACTATGCAAATATCTCAGGGGTATGCAATTGTTGGCTGAATAGAGAAATCTGTAAAAGAAGGTTTATTTTTGATATCCGTTAACTGTTTTTGCAGTTCCTTTTCATATTATACTTCTTAAATAGGTAGAATTCATTTTGAATTTTGAAAATATTAACACTTGGTCATGTTGAGGCCAATTTCAAAAGAAGACACCTTCRTGGGAGTTTTGGATGGTGATTGTCAAGTTGTGTTGTGTGATTTGTTCAACACAATTGCATATTTGCTTTTTAAAGGTGTGGTCTTGTAATAAATTAAAATCCATTTTGAAAGAATAAAAATGGTCACTAACTCAAATTATCAACTAAATTCTTTAGTTTCAAACAGAGTCTGCCTGCCTCTCCTGGTGATATTGCAGTGCTCTGTAGGCAGATGCTAAAAAGTAATGCAATTCTTTGTAATTAAATTCTATTGAGTAGAAATTAAATAGAAAATGATTGAATTAAAGGATAGCTTTAAGCTTAATAAAGCAGTTTACAATGATTGTAAAGTATTATAAAGCATTTTGTTAATTTTTCAATCATATTAAAAAACACCCCACAGCAAAATGTAATTAATTCAATAGTAGATTATTTTGACTCTAACAATGGTGTCTTACAGTGGGGAAAGTCTTGGGTTTGTTTTTTGGTTGGTTGTTCTTTTTCCAATTCTTTGGCCTGACATTCCYGAACTGAATCCAGAATGTTTGCATTAAAAGGATGCTGGGAATCAGCAGAGCCCTTCAGGTAGGAAGAGAGGGAGAATTTTGGTGTTGTGAGTTAGGTAAGTGATGAGACATAATGAAGCAGTAGAGAATCTTATTCTTTTGATTGACAGAATACAGTATGTTTTCCACTGCATCACTGTGTATTACAGAAATGTAGCCTGTAGGTTTTTAGAGGTAGTGTAAGAAGGAAGGAAGATGTCAATATCTTGTGATGAGCATAGTCTCGTGTGCTATCGAAGTATTTGTGTCTTGCATGAAAATACCCTTTTCTCATTGGGATGGTTAATCTACACTTTATCTCTAGGGTAAAGTTGTAACTAAATTGCAAATATAGAAGTCAAATCATTAAAGCTAGTACCAACGTTAAAAAAAAAAATCTTATTTTGGATTTTTAGATTGTCAGTTATAGCATAGCTCTCAATTTGAGAGCCTCTGATATGGTTATGTTGCCATAGACTTACCTTAATTGCTTTGTAAACTTGCTAACTCCTCATACAGATTCTCCTAAAGCCATTTTGGTCAGACTCAGTCACTGAAAATTATGTATTTGTAGGAGRCAAAAATATGAAAAGACTTTCTTCAAATGCGTGATTACTGTAGTTTTACTCTCAAAATGCTTATCACAAACTGGTTAGCAAGTTGAATGGGTACTTTGACCTTCTGACATCTAATTCTTTATAAGAAAAGGTGAAAAAAAAGAAAAGAACTTTTGGGAAGTTGCTAATTGAGGGTGATTTAATAATAATGAAGATTGACCTCCATTTAATCAGTGCAAAATGAATCATCATGCAAATGGTAAAAACTTAGTAGCCTCTGCTACATCCCTTGCTACAGCCTATGATGTACTGAATACTCTGTCAGAAAATCTGTCCTGCATCATACAGATATATGTGTGTAACTATACAACCTGTATGCCCTGATTCTTCATGATTTCTTTCTAGAATTCATAGCGTTGTTGCTCAAGTTTAATTTGAATGCATTGACAGTGAGGTGTCTATTGCCACCAATTATTTTCCTTGCTTTTCGACCCCAAGAGTTCAATGAAGGTTGTCTACTTCCTCACAAAGACTGGTCAAGTACTTCCTTTCCCAAACATCAGAACTTAAGAGAAGGAGAGGCTAGCGAGARAGAGGGATGAATCTGTTCTAAGAGATTTTTAGACTTAAAGAGTGAAGGTCTTCCTTTGTCTGAAATAAATGAGCATTCTGTAAGTGTGGAAGAATAAGGGGATTCTAGCTTTGACTCCATTCTTTGCTTTCATCAGTGAGTGTTGAGATTCTTTCTCACTTTCATGAGGCAGAAAAATAACAAGAGAAGACTAAAAAAGAGAAGGAACTATGCAGGACTAAATCTTCAGCTAGGGTAGTGAAAACCAATATGGAAAGAACTGCTGGGTAACCACAAAGAATTCTAGATGGTGTGACCATGCCAGAACTACCTTGAAATCCCTCATGAAAGGGGTTTGTTCATTGTGTTTTGGGGATTGTGCTTGCCTTTCAACAGACCCAAGACTTGTGTTGTGAATATTTTTTTTTTCCCTTTTTGCCTTGCACCCTTTTCCATGTGTTTACTGAGTCTGTGCTAGATAAGAACCTCTTACCTAAGCAGAACCCCTCCTGTTAATGGCTAGAGGAGAAGAAAAAAGAGCAAGACAGAGCAGCAGGAGAGAACTACAGTCAACACATACTGCTATATCAAAATAACTGCAATAAAATGGAATGATTATTTGCACTAAATACAGTAATTAAAAACAAAATGAAAAAGCCAAGGCTACCTAAGTATTGAAGGACCTCAATGTTAAAACACCAGTGGTGCAGTGTCAGAGAAAAATGGACAGCAAAGAAGACACACCCCYTCTCCTCTGTGCTCACAAAAAAATGCTCACAGAAAGACAAAATTGTTCTATGAATGGGAAGGCTCAATGACAGCAAATGAAAACTGATAGCATAAGTGATTTTATATCAAGGCCTTTAAACTGAAACTGCTTATCAAAAAGCCTATATGACTTTCGACATGTTTATTCTTACTATTTAGTCAGTAAACACTAAGAAAATAAGTAACCTATACAAACATGAACCTTGTCTGTGAAAATGTCTGCTGTATCATTGCTTGTGAGTAGTGTGAATACTACCTAACTCAACTTCAGGGATCTGCTTTTCAGAAAGCAAAATCTACTCTGTTTAATTTTTCTCCTTTTTTAGAATTATGTTCCATAGCTCTCATAATTTTGAGAAATAGAATTTTTTTCTCATATAGGAAATTTCATTGAAATGAGGATTTCTGTGTGGCTATAGCATTTTATCAGGAGATTTCTCCCATGTCTGTAAAGGCTTATGTTTTGGGGGGTTATTTCCCCTCTCTTCTTTGCAAAAAGTAAGTCCAAARTGAGTCTGATCTATTTAGTTATCATATGCATGTCCATTATCTTATGCATAGGCTTTTCTAGAGCATATTTTAACACTATTTTAAGTCCTCTTGCTTTAGTTGTGCCTTAGGTCATGAAACTATAGTGAATCTCAACATGTGCAACCATAAATCCACCCTCACTAGAAGTATCTGTTTCATTTTATGAACATATTTATSTCCTATTTAGGGGACTGGATATGGCCCTAGTATAGAAAACCTGCTCTTTTAAATTTTGGAATTATAAGGATCMCACTAAAGCTGCATGCTTCAAAATATTTCCAAAATAGCCTTTGCATTGTTTAAAAGAGCGGTGTAACTGTGTTAGGGTCCAGAAATCATAGAGGAAGGTAATCAAATGAAGATTTGTTAAAGCCAAACTTCTGTAATGTATGCATAATAATAAGCTGAGGTGTAGTCATCTCAGCAGACTCTCTGTGTAAAGAGAAGAGTTCCAAGGTCAGTAGCAAGTGAGTCCTGACTGCTTATAAAAAGCATTAATTCATTCACACTCTGCAGTTTCTGTAATCCTGTTAAACGACAGTCCTTTTACTATAGGATATTTTAAATGCAGTCTACAGAAGTCACTACCAAAGACCTGAAACTGACCAGTTTATCAGAAAAGTTATTTGGATCATAGTCGCTCTATAGCTTTCCTGTTTCTGAAATTATGAAGAGAATAGTATGGTGATAGCTCTTTTTAGATAGTTTTTTAGTAAAAATTTGAGTTTTGATTACCTAGAAATTCAATTTGAATGCACATGAATACTGTAGCCAACTAGGTTGAAGATAAATATTGTTAAAATTGTTTTAACTGAAATACTTCAGAACTCCCTAGACTCCATAGGCAGCAGCCTTTCTGTTTGGAGCTGAAAAAGTGCTGAGATTTGTCTGAAATTTTAAGTGAAGTGACACAGATTTCAACTGTCAGCWCTACGGAGATAGATACTTAAGCAGTCCTTTCCATTGCTTATTCTGCTGCTAAGTATTCAGAATTCTTCGTGTTAACCCTGTGATCTATTCAGTAATGAGACTATCTCTTTTGTATGTAAACGATGAATAGCATGTGTTACTCCTTATTTTAAGCCAATATGTTTGGTAACATATTTAAGAGAGCATAATCTTCTCATCTTGAGTCAGTGCACTGGATCAGTTCTTAAAGTTGAGGAGGAAGTCAGCACAGCTAAATAGGGTATTAATTTGCTTCCACATTCCATGGCTTTCRCATGTCCTGTTCATTGACCACAAACCATGACTTCTAGAATATAATCAAATTTCATTAATAAAATCAAAACTATTTTAAAGAAGAAATGTTTTATTGACTTGTCTGAATTTCTGCCAGGTTACAAAATGATAAAAACTAATGTAGCAATAAGATAGGCCATTAGCAATAGGAAAAAAAAAAAAATCCAAACTCCTAAAAGCTTATAATAGTTCTAGCAAAGGAGGATGTTTTTGTAATGACAGTGCATGTTTATTCTTGGGGATCACTGACAACAGCAGTGGTTGAATACGAGAAAGGACTGAGAAGAGCAGCAATGGTGTAATGGCGGTGACCGGAATCATTAGCAGTGAACACCACCTGGAACAGAGAAAACTTACAATCAATAACATATATATGATCAAAACTACCYTAACAGTCAGATTTAGGAGGCTGGCTGGTGATGGGGCAGTTCCTATTGAAGAAAAAGTAGCAGCTGGACTTGCTAGAACAGGGAAAGACTCAGGCCATCCTGAGGGATACTGATGGAATTCAAAATGGCACATCTCAAACTCAAGAACATAAGACACCCAGTTTCAAGAAAAGTACCTTCATATGGATTGCGATCCAACCCGGTTGTCTTTATCTAATACTTGAGTTGTTCTCTATACCATGACATGCTTTCTGCAAGRGGACTGTGTGCCTTCCCACATCCCAGTGTTGCTAAAGTCCAAACTGATGGAGACAGAATTGTAGCCTTGAGTTGCTTTTTAAATAGACAGTTGATGAACTTTGCACTCATTCTGGGCTTGGACACTGACCCCCTAGGTTATTACGTCAAAGGAAGGCATCATAAACTGCCTAACTGGAATAGTTAGAGCTCAAGGAAGCTCTTTTAAGTGCCTTTTCAGGTAAAGCCTTAACCTCAGCATCTTTCTGACATCCAAATGGTTAGGGGATGTTTCTGAGAGWTGTTTATTAGACATAAATGACCTTAGTTTTACCTCAGACTTTTTTTGATCTGGGACACGGGCATTTTTTTAGTCTTTAAAGAGCCTCACAAGGTAGCAATTTAGAATGTTTTGCAACTTATTCTCTAGTGTTTCCAGATCACTGAATAGAGTATTTGGGGAAATTTAATTTAATGGTATAGTAAGCCATGAGAATGTAAACAAAATTTTTGAAAGTAAATATGTAAACTATGTAAATATTACAGAATGGGATACATAATAAATAACTGTTGGGCTAAAATTTTTTTTTTAAAAAAAAAAAGGCGTAAGATACAATTATATTGAAGGTCACCTTAGAAAATCCGTGTATCACTGAAGCTACTAGCCTGTTTTTCTTTTCACATTTTAGATATTTATATTTTAATGTATCTTTTTCTGTTTCATATTTCAGGCCTGATCATTGTTAAAAATGCACATAAAAAAGTTTTCTCTTCCAAGTATATACTATATTAGAAYGAGTTAATCATTTCAGATGAGGGAAATGAGTGAAATTCCCCTCATCTGAGTTCTTTTTCTATAAGATGAGAGTTTCCAAATCTCTATATTCTTTCAGCAAATATAAAAACTATCTTTTTTTTTTTTTTTAAGATTGCATGCTGTTGAATAATGTGCCTCTTGGATGCAAGGTCTGCTGGTGTAAAGTTGCACGGGACTACTTTGAAAGAGCTAAATCAGTTTGTGTTTGCACAGAAAGATGGCTACTTTGTCTTAGCTGAATATGAACTGTCTTTATTCACACAGTCATATTTCCTAGTCAGTTATTTCCCTGAATAATACTGGTCCTTCAGTATTAAAGGGCTGTATTTATTCTTTCAGCTAATGCCGCTACACAATATAGAGGTTGTATAGTACCTCACATCTCACAAATACTCACATCAGCATATTCGTGGAATGGAGAAAGGCCAAGTCCCTTCCAGTAAGAGCTGGTGTCAAACTCAATCCTGTATAGTCCTTCTACAAAGTCTTCTTCTGTTGTGAGCTCATGGATCTCCCCATATTCTGTGGTCTTCCTGTAATGATAAAATCTCTCTCTAAATATTTTGTATTGTCATTTAGAGTCATAACAAAAACAAGAACGTTAATGTTAGCAGCAGCCAAATTTTCAATGAATCATATACAATTCTATACTGAATTCTGTATCTAATCATCCAGACTAAATAACATCTGTGTAGTGTACGGATCCATATTGCAGAGAATGTCCTTGCTACCAACTCATCCATATATATCACAAATCAAAGCTGTCTGTCTGTTTTTTGGTCATTGCTGTTGCTATAGTTAGCTTCTGTTTTAATTTTATATCTAACTTGTACCAAGTGCTTTCTTGAGCCAAATGTTTAGTGGTGTAGGAAAAGGATGGTCATGATGAAAAACTGCATGCCAAATTCCAAATTATGATTAAAGAGAAAATTGAAATGTTAGTGGGAAATGATTTTATCCACTAAGTATTAGTGTCAAGGACTGAAGGTTTTATATTTGGATACAAATGCATTTCTATGTGGCCCTGAATGATAGCATCTGGAACCGTGRTTTAGTATCATGGGATTTTATTACTTCCGAACTAAAATGCCTTGGTCAAAGAACAGGGACCTTTTTCTGTGAAATGCCATGTGAATGAGGAATGGGAATTCCCAGCTGAGAGAGCTTATGGACTCAGCTTGTAACAAAAAACTATGAATGAATGAAATTCAGAAGCAAGAGGAAAATAAAGCTGCATTGCTCCTTATTTGTTTAAAAAAGAGCTAGATTTGCATGACAGCTGTTTAAATATTTACCTATTCATTTCTTAAACCATTCCTTCTSCTCTTCGTGTTTGTTGTATTTCTGAAATTTCTTATCAACTCTTATATAGTCTTATGTTTTTTTTTTCCCTCTGAAAGTTTTCATGGAGTATTTCCACTCCATATAACTGCCTAATGTACCTGAAGGAATGAATGAAGAAAACCATAGCTTGAAGAATTTATAGGGCTTGCTACTCCTAAGGCAAACAAGTGAAAAACAACAGAGTGTGAGAAGGGAGAGACAGAGGGGACAACAAAACAAGGTGCTGCTTGTCAGAGAGATAATCAATTGTGCTATTGTAACATCTGTTTTCTTTCCCAACCTCCTCCCTCTTTGTCATGTTTGGCTATCTTTGGTTAATTGTTATGGAAGATGGAAATTCTGAATGATGGAGCCTTACTTAAAATAATTTAAAAAAWGATAGTGGTAGTTCTCTTGTTTTCTTGCATCTGTGCTGTAGCCCTTTGAAGTCTGACAGATGTCTCATTGGTCCAGCATAAGTGAAATCAGTGTTATCCAGAGTGGACARACCTATGAGGAGTCTAAGCCATGTTTGAAAAAATGACTCATGGGCCGTTTGTTTTATTTTGTTTTAAATAGTACTTCTTGTCATAACTTTTATTATCTTAAAGGCTGAAGTAATCGTTGGTGAGTGATCACTTATCTTTGAAATTGTGAAACAGAATTGTTTGGATTTGACAGAAGTGGTTAGAGTACAAGTTAGCATTTCACATGTAACCGATTACAGATTGAATAGTTTAGACACAAACTAATTAAAAGAGGGAAAAAAGAAATCATCCAAAATCTTTGTTCTGGTAAGCAAATGATCTTCAATTTAAGAAAACTGAGAATACATCCTGAATGACTATCTCAATGTCGCAGGTGTTAACAACCCAGAACAGATGGGCAACTGGAAGAAGAGCTAAAACTGAGAGTTCCTTCTTGCCCTGTAGTCATAGATAGAGGCACTTTCTTAATTTTAGTTACTAAGTAATATCCATTCAGTGTTAGTGGTCTTATAGGTGCATCCTCCAGAATTACTGCAGTGTTGACAGCCAAAAGGATAAAGTGATTTGCAGCCTTGACAAAAACAATACAAGAGAGAGCATTTCCTATATCAGGCCTTGGTGGCAAAGTGATATGAGTGATCCCTTTGGAGGATCAGTTGTGTATTTCTGTGTGAGTAGAAGAATAAAGTAAGTATGGCTATGCATCCTTAATAGGTGGTGAATCATCAACATCCGCTGTTGATAGACATATGTAGACGTGCATCCAAATTAACAGATAAGTTTAAAAGACTCTGTTTTTCCAGCAGAGAATTTACAGAGTTCTACTTAAGATATTGTGTCTGCAGCCTAAATCTCAATCTGCTGTCACCTTTTCCTGATGCTGTTTTTCCACTGTGTCTAGACTTGAACTTTGTGACCAAGTTAAATCTGTACTAGTTTGTGCAATGACACATTTGTGATCTATTGAGAAATACACTGTGTGGTCTATCTTGTAATGATCTATGTTTTCAGATATAAGCAGACTGCTGGGGAAATATCTATAAAACAAGAATTACTGTCTAAAATGTTCCAAAAAAAAATTTAAAGGAGGGGTGGGGAGGAACCACTCCAAGTGCTTTTTTTTTTTTTTTTTTTTTCTTTTTGATAATTCAAAATCTAGATCACATCTCTGCTTTCTGAATGTAATTCTTGAACTATAGGGTGAGATCTAGATTTCCAAAGACATAAGAAAAGTGAGAAAATCAAAACTAGTCATGGGAAGAATTATTATAGCATCCAAATCATACTCTTCTCGGGTCTCTGAATTCTAAAACCCTCCTAAATGTCTCTCCTGGAGTTAACTTTTGTGGTATATTTTTCGATGAACTAATTTTGAATAAGCCTCTAATAATATCAGCTATTGYTATTCTAGCTTTCTCACTGCCTTTTAAATACTATTATTCCAAATTTAATAGTTGCTAGTTGCACTTGCTTARTTCCCTAAAATGGGTTAGGAAAGTAAAAACAAACAAGTTAGAAATAACAGATCAAAAGATACTTGTGCAAAACAGCATACTTTTCATATTTTATATTCTGCTAAGTATCCTTCATGTATCTTCCAAATATCTTTAGGCTATGAATATGAACCCTGGCAACAATAGTTACAACCATTTTTCCTTGATTGCATTCATATTTTCAGCTTTATCACGAACAAACTCTGATTTTCTCAGAAAATAGAAAATTGCGACTACTTTTGCAGACCCAGTTCAAAAAAATGTAATCTGCTAAAGTCAACATCATCTCTAAAAGCAGCCTGAGTTAAATTGCAAGTCAAGGGAAAGATCAAAACCTTCACCTGAAGTAGGAATAGGGTTTTAATGTGTCTGAAGTGCTTAAAGTTTCTCCTTTGCCTTAATGACAATTAGTTTTGAAGAAGTGATTTGATTTTCTTAGGGAGTGTATGGACTAAAACATATACAATATTTGGGTGAGTCCTGGCTGGTATTGTAGAATTTGGCTTTCTTTGCTTATTAAGAACAACACTGCAGAGTAAACAGAGAAAAAAAAAATTGTTCTGCTGAAAAAAAAAGGGCTTTTGACACGGGTGTCTCATCTATCTTATTCCTCTTAATTTTTTTTTTTTATATTACATATTTGTTCAAGACCACAGTGCTCAGATGAAACATTTGAAATCTAGATTTCCTGATAATGGTGGAGATGTTCACTAAACACACGATCATAGTTTGTTTTTTCTTTCCTTGTAAGCAACCTGCCATTCTTATGGGGTTTAAAATACGTAGATTTATTGTGAGAGTCATATTTTACTAGATTAATGCTCAGTATTTAGGAATGGAAGGTACTAGTTTCTCCTCAGACCTTCTAAGCTCTTCTGTTTCTTTGTAATGGGATAAGATTTTATTTATTTAAAATAAGTAAAATAAAAAAAATCTCCCTCCAGATGGAGACACAGGTATCTCCATCCTTGTAGTCTTCTGTTTCTTTCTTCAGTTTTTATGTACATCATGCAGTTGAATTCTCTGATGGCTCATATCCTTGCTTGCACTTTTTCATTCTGTGGTTGATTATGTTGCTTTTACTACAGATTTCACTTGACTTATTTAAAAATCAAATTAARTGAGATGTTAAAATGAAGTTTAAATACCTGAACTATAGTGCACATGTATGCTTTAGTAAACCATAGCCCTCTGTTCTCTGTACTGTTTCTCCAACCTTAAGATAATAGTATAGATAATAGTATTTGCTTGTCTCTCCATGATGTTTTGAGAATATTTTGTAAAATACTAAGCCCTCATATTGGAAAAAACAAAGCCACGGAAGTCTACAGAAAAGATGACAAGCAAACGGTTACATGTTTCTGTGTTGTATTACACTGTTTTTTTWAAATGTTCTAGTTAAGACCTAGTTAAGTTCTAGTTAATTTCTCCAGCTAGCATGTTTGTTGCACTGAAGAAGGCTGATGCACTTCTCACAAGCATGGGTAGAGACAAAGGTTACAGAGAGGATTTTGTGTATTACTGCTGTCAATAAAGCTCTCTTTTAAGTAAATTTTTTTTTTTTTTTTTTTTTTTTTTTTTTTTTTTGGTAGAAAGGGAAGAGAGTATTGAAGCCAGGAGAGAAATATTTACATATTAAACCTATTACCTTTCAAAGAAAGATAAACATTTCAGAGTGATTTCACAATTAGTATTTGTTTCAGTCCTGGGCATGTTCCATGTATTGGTTTTAGACCAGAATTAATGTGCTTTTAACCATGATAGCAACGCCTGCTAGAAAATGCGTTGTTTTTCTGATCACAGCTTCATTCCCCTTATTTCTCACTTGTTTGTCCAAGGCACCTGAAAATGAGTCCATAACACCATGTAACTTACCCAACAGCAAACTCCTGCCAGCTTCCATCTGCAGCCTTCTTATACACCTTAACAGCTACGCTGGCTGCAGGACTTCCTCTGACTGCATCCAGCACTTTCACCATCAGAGGGCATTTGGAATCAACAGAACCATGGGAGACCTGGGGGAAGTCAGGAGACATTGTATAGGAGCTGTTTACCAGCCACTGCAAAAACTTTTGCAGAGAAGATGAATTTTTATTGCATAATTAATAGTGGCTTAAAAGCAAGTTATTGGGCAAACACTATTTAAAGCTAGTTCTATTCTAGTGTTGTCAAAACATCTATTCTTTGCAGCAGAGTATCTTCGATCTCTTTATGAATTAGGTTGTTATACACATATATACACATATTATTGCATATTATATAAAAAACATTGATATGACATTTTTATTGCTATATGCACCATTCCTAKCACTTATCTGTAAGGGTATCTGTAAGACATCTGTAAAACATGATAAATATTTCAAGTTGTATATGTCCTTGGAGAAATATTGCAAGGCATATGCTGTTGTCTTGTATGTGATGTCTTAAAAACGTAGTAAATCATTATAAATGCAGGCAGAGAATCTTAGGCAACTGACAGAAAATACCTAAGATGTCCCTAGGGCTGAAAGAATATTGCTTCCTAAATTCTGTTGTGTTATAATGAATTCTTAGTCATACTTCAAAAATATCTATTTATTTCTTTAGAGATAACAAAAGATATTTGGTGAACAAGGTGAAGCTACCATTATATTAATGGTGGCATGTGAGTCACAAAGTGACAGAAATAAAAAGAAATAAAGGCTACAGCTCCTAGATCAAGGAYTCTTTCATAATATACTAAAATAGATGACTCATGGCAGAAGAAAAAATTTAAGGACTTTGAAGAAACTTCTAGAAAAAAAATCATAGTAAAATAACATTCAAAAAAAGTTGATGGCTGAAGAATTACAGAGATGGAGAAGCTGCTAGTCATGTAGAAAATTTAGATTAATGTTCTTGCAATCATTGAGTTTGAATAAAAAGACTCACCAGTGGTGCAGCTTCRGAGAGAAATACCAGTCCAGCTAAGAAAACAAAGAATGTGGAATGAAAAGCCATTCTGCTTGCTGTTAGTGATTCTTGGTGCCAGTAGCTATGAGCTGATGAGATTTGGGATTTTATACCCAATCCTACAACAAAACAGGCTGCTTATTGGGTGCCCATCTGACTCCAAATCTGCTGATTCTGATTATTTGCTTAGTAAACAGTCCAATCCTAGACTCCGTCCATGCATAGCATTTCCATTGCAATCAATGGAAGTTTTGCCTGCAGAACTGCAGGATCAGTAAGCAAAGAGAATAAGTAATGGACACAAACATGACCCTTGCCTAGGGAGATTAGACTCGTAGAATGCCCTCCACAAAATAATGTAAATGACCTTTGTTTGCCCACAAGTCTATCCGATTCAAGATTTAACTTCCCTTGTCCTCAGATTGTATGTGATAACACCACAGATATTCAGTGCACCTATTCCATGTATGTTTCTGATGTATTTAATGATTTCTGAAGACAAATTTCCTAGGGTAGAAGTAGCCTCACTATTGAAAGTTACATTTGTTCACTGTTTGGCTCAAGCAGTGGTAACAGGCCCTGGTGGGAGACAGATTCCCATATCTGTCCCTGCTTGCTTATAAAGAGTAATGCTGCTTTTTCACCCAATTAAACCTAATTTAGATAGAATCTGATACCATGCTACTTATCAAAAGTAATAGTAGGGAAAGGCTATTCCTGAAGTCAGCAGGAAAACTTCTGATAGCTTCCCAATTGATCAGTCGCACTTGTGGTATTTTCACATAAATAGCAGTTGAGGCCTTGACGCTTTYTCATAGTTACTAGGAAGAGACAACAGACAGATCTGTCCTCTCTGGAAGGCAGAAGTGCAAAGAAAGTGAAGTGAGTCATCTCCGTCGCTCCATGGACTCCAGAGGGAGCCAAGGCAACTAGCATATGCTAGTAGCTTAAATTAGCATCCAGTTAATGCTGTAATCGTCAGACTTACGGTATTAGTTGAGTTATGCTTTGCTTTGAAATGAACATTTAAACAAAAGTAGTTTCAGGTATGAAGTCAGTCCCAGCCTAGATTGAAAGGGAGAAGGTATGAGTGGGAGTGTAGGCACTCAGGTGAAGCTGAGTTTCTCCAGTTGCATCACATAAAGATTGTACATACTGTGCTAGCTGGAAGAAACACCCTGTTTGGCTTTTCCTTCTCTGCATGTCCTTCCTGCAAAACAACACCAGGTCTATATATTTTTTTTTAGGAGGTAGTGTGCTTAGCTTTTACTTGATTTTTTTGATACAGCATTCTAATGAAAAGCAATTCTGGCTCTAGCTTGAAGATTATGGTGAAGATCTGAAAAAGAAGTTAYGGAGTGAATAGTTATCCCCAGTGCCCTTCATACCTTCAGACTACTTTATGTAGTCACTTCTCTTTAGGTGGAGTGGCTTAAAGAAAAAATTTATATTACAGTAATCTCCTGAGCCGGAATCAAAGTGCCCTTTGTACTTAAACCAGAGTAGACTAATAACTAGGTAGTGTTCTCATTTTGMATGCCTGTGAGAGTCAGCAATAAGTCCAGCAGTGACAAATCATGTGGAGATCTAGTGCTTGTGGTATGCATTCAGATCCTGTAAGAGAAAATACTGCCCTTAGATCTATTCGTTGACACTCTGCTTCACTGTTTTCCTCTMATTGTTTGTAAATCTCTCTCTGAAGCAGTAAAGCTTTGTATGTCAGAAAGAGAAGTGATCTGCATGCTTGTACAAGTGGATGGTCCTCTTACTCATCACTTGCTGCCAACTTTTAGTCAATGAAATAATGCTAAGGAGCTAATAAAATTACCACTTCCTTCAACCGAAATTGCTCTGTAATGGGAGTGTGATTTCACTATATATATATATATATATATATATATATATATATATATATATTTCTTAGGTTTTCCTGTAAATTTCTGAAAAAAAAGAAATCCGGTATATGAGGATAGTGTATTTCAATAGTCTATAGGTTTTGTTGGGTTTTTTTTGTTTGTTTTGTTTTGTGTTTTGAAGCACTGATCTTTTGGTAGCTGTTTTTGCTGTTGTTTCAAAATGGACAAGGAGCATGGGAAGTCACACAAACATTTTTTTCTCCTCCTTGATTTACTGTTTTTTGGTCTCTTCCCCATGCCACACAATCTAGGTGGGGTTATTCTGCCTATTAACAGGGTTACCTCTCTAAGGAGTAATTAGACTCTTATTAGGGAAGCCCCATTTGTACATTTTTCAGAAAACTACGTTATTGCTGCAAGCTCCAAGCGGAATCAGTAGGAATGTAAAAGGTCTCTCTCATCTAAGATTTCTCTGATCTAGAAAGTCATAGAACAGACGGATTTTATTTTTTTACAAAATTCTATTTAAATTTCATCTTAATTTTAAATTACTATAAATTTATCATTTGTAAAACTGATGATAGTTAGACCTTACTCCTTCCATTGCCAGTTTGAACTGTTTAGGATAAATAATGCAAATACACTTTCGGTAAAATATGTGAGAGGGTTCAGGAATTTGGAATATCTGATCAGGGAGAAAGGTGAGTATTAGATGGATAAAATGGCATGTGTTTGGATTTAGATGACACTGAAGAGAAAGTAGATGGTCCTCATCCTTCTTGGCTGACTTTTAAGTGGAGAAAGATGCAATGATTCTAGAAGGACATGGCTGCAAAGTTGTCATCATCCTGATTACATTTGCTTGTAACAGATGAATTTTTGACTATAGCATCTAACTTTTTTAAACTTTTGAGGAGTGTCCCAGCCTCCGTAAATGAAATAATAATGTCTTTAAGGAAAATCAGAGCATGTGACCAAGGTGGAGGTGAGGTGAAGGAAAAAAAGGGAGAAGACACTAACTGCCAGCAACCAGTGATAGGTTATTGATAGTTCTCTGTCTGTTGTTGTCCCTGTCTTTCAGTGTATTGGGAATCCAAGGCTTGTAACCTCAGTAATTGATTTCCCAGACATGAGTGAAGAAAAAAAAAAAATGTGAAATGAAAAGAGTCTAAAAATCACAAGGGAAAAATTGAGTGGGAAATCCTTGGTCTACTGAAGGAACAGAAAATCTTCCATGAAGAGCGTTCCTTCMTGCATTAATGGAAGTGATGGAGGTGAGCCTCACCTCCATCCCTGGGAAAGTGATGGAGCAGCTCATCCTGGCTGCTCTCTCCAGACACATGGAG